CTGTCTGTCTGTCTGTCTGTCTGTCTGTCTGTCTGTCTGTCTGTCTGCCTGCCTATCTATCTATCTATCTATCTATCTATCTATCTATCTATCTATCTATCTATCTATCTATCTATCCATCCATCCATCCATCCATCCATCCATCCATCTTGTTGACTCAGCCTTCCATCCTTCCAATATTAATAAAATGAGGACCCCGATTGTTGGAGGCAAAATGCTGATTGTGTAAACCACTTAGGGAGGGCTATAAAGCACTGTGAAATGGTATATAAGTCTAAGTGTTTATCCATCCATCCATCCATCCATCAATCCATTGAACTATGGTTGAACTGTAGCTTCTAAAAAGCAAGATCTAAAAAGCAAAATTGTAACAATTTAAGTGTAACAATTTAAGAAAATTATACCCATCATTGGTATAATTTTGGAATTATACAATGCTGCAATTGTCCTCTCTTTGGATGCTTAACCATAACATTAGTTTACTTTACTTTACTTTACTGTCATTGCACCTCATACAATGAAATTAAATACCATCTTCAGTGTACATTATGACTATGAAAATAAACACAAACACACATCCTTCACATTCTATACATTGAATTGAAAACCCCTGATATTGCATTAATGGTGCACTATTAGAGTTACTACACAGTAGAATTCAAAAGAGTTACTGCCCTGGGATAGAAGCTGACCTCTAGAAGTTGTCACTGTTTCCAACAAAACAGCAAAATTAATATTGGGCCAATGGGCTCCAACCTTCACCATTTTGAATGGTGTATTGTGGCCCACACATAGAGGAAGCGGGTGGGGAGTTGCAATTCTGCTTTTATCAATTGGATTTCCTTTGTCCCTCTTGTAAGTGCTGCTGATCCTTGATGGCACAATGAACAGAGGTCATGAATATACATATGAAATGCCTGCAGTTCCCTTAATCTGAACGTCTCTAAAAAGGCTGCTCGGATTTTCAGTTTCCTTTCCCATCCTAAGGGAAAGTTGCAAACTGTATGAGAAGTGAAGAAAGCATATTGGCAGGCCTCAGGGCTCTCAATTTTTTTTTTTAATATTATCATTTTATAGAATTTAATAAGCGTGCAGGGGAATAATGCTATTTCCCCACCCCAAGGAGGGTCAAAATGGCAAAAGGTCTTCTGAAGAATGTTGACTGAATATTAGAATAGTAATCCATGTGAGGGTTCTTAAGTGTTCACATTGGCTGCCTGTCACCTTTGATTCATGCTGCAGAAGACTTGAATAAGGATTGCCCAGAACATTATTTGAGATCCTTGTAGTCCAAGATCATAACTTTATCATCATCAAAGTTGGAGGACCATTAGAAGAATCTCTATGTCCCCACCATTAAAGGCCTGATACTCTAAAGTCAATCAGGGGCTCTGGATCCTTCTCCATATAGTGAAAATGGTCACTATATGGATTGCAGCTGCATATCAAAACATTGAGCTGTTCTGGAATGTTGATGAAAGAACATCCTTCTATTGTCTTAATACAGGGGTCTTCAAACTTGACATCTTTAAGACTTGTGGACTCCAACTCCCAGAATTCCTTCTCCTGTCATGTTAGCTGAGGAATTCTGGGAGTTGAAGTCCACAAATCTTAAACTTGCCAAGTTTGAAGACCTATGTCGTAATACAGTAAAGAGACCGTCAAGCAATGGGACTCATTTGGAACTATCCAAGGTCCTGTTTGGGGTGTCTTTGGTGCTCTCTGAGCTTGGTTGTTTTCTCGCAGAAGTTTCATTACCAAATGAAATACTGATTATGTTTCTTAGTATAGTAATGAAATATCTGTAAGAAAATAACCAAGCTCAGAGAGCACCAAGGACCCCACAGTTCAACCCTGAGCTGCAAATATTATCTTCTGTTTCCTATTGTGTGTTGCTTGGTCTTCTGCTGTCCTCAAGTTTCATTGTGGATATGTTGGGACAACCCAGCTTGTTGGGTTAACACAATACTGTGAATTTTGTCAACACCTCACCCCAATGGATTAATTTGATAAGCACACGCGATAATGCAAGTACATAGTATAATGCCTACAGAAAGCTAATTCATTTGCAGTCAAACTTCCTTAATTATTTTCTCTTTTTACCTTGTTTTCCGGGTTAGTTGGATATCTCTGTAGAGAGTGTAGGTGTGAGTTCCTAAGAAGATGTAAGGTTCCATAGCAACCCCCTTGATGGAGGCATAATCCTTGCCCATCAATCCAAAAGCCTCCATCATGTCAAAACCTGTGAAAAGTAGACCATATTGATCATGTAAACGTGTAATTCCTAATCTCATGAACTTTAAGATGTGTGGACTTCAACTCCCAGAATTCCCCAGCAAGCATGTAATGGTTCTTCAAATTTGGCAAGTGTAAGACTTGTGGACTTCAACTCCCAGAATTCCTGAGCTAACAGGACTGGAGGAGGAATTCTGGGAGTTGAAGTCCACAAGTCTTAAAGTTGTCAAGTTTGAAGGCCCGTGATGTAATGGAAGGAACAGGTTTTCCATGCTTGCTCAACTCTAAGGTGTTATCAATAGGATAAATAATGACAGCCTCATGAGTATGGACATTCCTATTTCAATGCTCTTCCTTGTTTCCCTGACATTCTATCTAAACATTAAAAATGATTTATACCAGTGTTTCTCAACCATAATGACAGGATAACATAGTTGAAAGGGAACTTGGAGGTCTTCCAGTCCAACCCCTTGTTCAAGCAGGAAATCCTATACCAATTCACACAAATCATTGTCCAATCTCTTCTTTAAAACATTCAGTGTCAGGGCACCCACAACTTCTGGAGGCAAGTTCTTCCACTAGTTGATTGTTCTCACTGTCGGGTAATTCCTCCTTAATTCTAGGTTGGATCTCTCCTTGATTAGCTTCCATCTACTAATCCTATTTTCTACATCATACTTTCAGGTGCTTTGCAGAATAGGTTGACTCCCTCTTCTTTTTGGCAATCTCTTAGATATTGGAAGACTGCTATCAGCCATTCTCATTGTACACATGTTGTACTCTGACAATAAAAGTAATAAAAATCATATCTCCTCTAGTCCTTCTTTTCATTAGACTAGACATGCCCAATTCCTGCAATTGTTCTTCATATGTTTTAGCCCCCAGTCCTCTAATAATCTTTATTGCTCTTCTCTGCACTCTTTCTAGAATCTCAGCATTTTTTCTTGTATTGGGGTAACCAAAGTTGGATGCACTATTCTGAGTGTTCCAAGACATTATAAAGGGATATTAACCCTTCATGTGATCTTGATTCTATCCCTCTCTTAATGCTGCCTAGAACTACATTGGTTTCTTTGGCAGCTGCAACATACTGGTGGCTCATATTTAAGTGGTTGTCCATGATAATTCCTAGATCCTACTTGCAGGTACTACTATTGAGTCAGGTACCACCTAAACACTGGCAACTTTAGGATGTCTGACTTTAACTCCCAGCATGCTTGCTGGGGAATTCTGGGACTTGAAGTCCAGACATCGTAAGGTTACTAAAGTTGAGAAACACTAGTGTAAATATTGCAAAGGCAGTTGGGGGAGGGATTTTAGAAGGTTGTTGTGAGAAGTAAGAATTATTCCTGTAAAAGACAGAGCAATGGTAACACCATAATTAACCCTTATGTAACCTAAGAAACCCTAATGAAATATTAAGTAAGACATTGTGTAAGAATGTTCTCTGTAGTACAAAAACCAGACTATAAATGTTTTGCACATTCTGGCCAGACAGATAGCTGGCAGGTCAAGGAAAGATCGCTGGTCAAGTTGTCATGTTAAAATTAATAGTGTTGACAATAGTCGGACGTGCCAAGGGGATGGAGATTACTGGAAATGAGTAAATTGATGGGATGGAGGTGCCAGGAAGAGGAAGGAATCCACCCAGAAAACAACCAATGAAGATAAGAGGTAGTAACCAAGGCTGGAGTATTGAAACTGTATTTAACCATCATTTATTCCTATGGAAGATGTCTTCTGTACCTCCACCTATACGAGCACAAAAGTCCTGCCTTTGCAAATGCTTATAATAAAGAAGCTCTTTATATTGTTTAGAAGTCTCCTGGTAATTTCACACTTAAAGGGTTAAATACCACAGTTGTACCCATATTCCTAGATGAGACAGATATCTACTGCTTCATCTGATAACCCTTTAAAGAGCCATTGACAAAGCAGACCCTTGAGCCTTCAGCTAGTTCAGTCTGGATTTTTCTGACACTACAGATAAAAAGCAAACTGTCTCATTTGCACGAAAAGTAGCATTTCTCAGGAAAGAAAAAAGAACAAGTCTGCACACACAGAGATTAGCTGTGGATCTGCAGATCATCCTAGAGTCCTTAGCAAAATGCACAGGTTCGCATTCAGGAGACTGTGCGTGAGTCAGCCATAAACTTCCTTGCCATTAAATTGCATCAGATCACACACTGCAATGAACAAGGTTGGTTGCCTGCTGCCCCATTTTTACACACCATCTGCCTCCTTCTCTTTTTAAATTGTTAAGCAGGGTTGACTTTGGTGAATACATATTCTTCAGGAGGAGGAGGAGGAGGAGGAGGGGATGGAGACGGAGAGGGGGGGAGAAAAAAGAAGGAGAGAAAGAAAGAAAATAAATTGAATACATATTCTTCCACAAAAGGAGAAGGAAAGGAGAACAGAAGGAGGAGGAAAGGAAAAGGTGAAGGGAAGGAAAAGGAGAAGAAGGAGAGGGAAGGGAAGAGAGAGAGGAAGGAAGGAAATAAAACAGAAAAAAGAATAGAAAGGGAAAGGAAAGGAAAGGAAAGGAAAGGAAAGGAAAGGAAAGGAAAGGAAAGGAAAGGAAAGGAAAGGGGGGAAAAGAAAATGAATACATATCTTCCATAAAAGGAGAAGGAAAGGGGAAGGGGAAGGAGAAGAAGGAGAGGGAAGGGAAGGGAAGGGAGAGAGGAAGGAAGGAAATAAAAGAGAGAAAAGAGAAAAGAGAGGAAAATAATAGAAAAGGAAAGGAAAGGAATACACATTCTTCCATAAAAGGAGAAGGGGAAGGAGAGGGAAGGGAAGGGAGACGAAGGAAATAAAAGAGAAAAGAGAAGAGAGAAGAAAAGAAAAGAACAGAAAAGGGAAGAAAAAGAAAGGAAAGAAAATGAATACATATTATTTCATAAAAGGAGAAGGAAAGGAGAAGGAGAAGAAGGAGAGGGAAGGGAAGGGGAGAGAGGAAGGAAGGAAATAAAAGAGAAGAGAGGAGAGAAGAATAGAAAAGAGAAGGAAAGGAAAGGAAAAGAAAAGAAAATGCATTTTTGAACCAGGAAATATCTCTAACAGATGAGTCAGTTTGTGAAGCCTTCAATGCAACCAGACTTTGCTATCAATAAATCCGCCCCTCATTTTGTCTTCTCCTTTGTTTGTCTATCTGAATTTATGGAAAAGCCGAAGCTGAGGATGAGCCAGGAACAATCGTGAAACAGGCATGTTTAAAAACATTTCAATTATCATTTTTTCATCTCCCAGCTTGATCTCCATAGCTTCATTTCTGATGATTATCTTGAAGGCCGAAGCCAATCGAAGGAGGGTTGTCCTGGTTTGATGAATTCAAATACTGGCTGAATTCAGTTTAGTAAAGTCCCCAGCCATGCAACCTCCTCATTTAAATTTCATTTGAACCGAATTATTATAAAAGCATGCAAAAAATAAGTGAGGCACCGCAATGTGGAAAAGATGGCTGGGGTAATACAAGTAAGTCCTCGACTTATGACCACAATTGAGCCCAACATTTCTGTTGTTAAGTGAGACCTTTGACTTTTCTTGCCACAGTTGTTAAGTGAATCACTGCAGTCAATAAACTAGTAACCTGGTTGTTAAGTGAATAGGCTTCCCCATTGACTTTGCTTGTCAAAAGGCTGCAAAACATGACCCCATGACCTTGGGACACAGCAACGGTCATAAGTATGACCCAGTTTCCGAGCATCTGGATTTTGATCATGTGATCACGGGGATGCTACCAACTGTGAAAAAATGGTCAAAAATTACTTTTTTCAGTGCCGTTCACTGATACGGCACTAAGTGAACTGTTGTAAGTCAAGGTCTACTTATAGTTGCAACGGGAAGTGCTGGATGACTTTCTGGGTTTTCTTTCCATTTGAAGGAAAATAAAAGATAAAGGCATATTCACTGGAGTAATGTTTCTGTTCGATTTCCTGGTAGGTCGACATACTCAATGAGAGGTCAGTGCAGCGACTGCATCAAGTATTTTTAACCAGATATTTTGGTGCAATCGAAGAGTTTTAAGGAGGGAAAACAATTCTTCCAGGAATCTTCAGAGTAGTGCTGGAAGCTCTAATTATCTGTGACATTTTTGTAAAAAACAAAACAAAAAAGACTTCTTATAAAGAAGCTTAGGAGATAGTACCATCAGGAAGTGGATGAAGCCCACTGAGACCAAGAGTAGCAGGTCTGTAAGTCTTTGTCCCAACTCGAAGGTAGCCCTTAGGCTTAAAAGCCGCTTCACAGTACTTTGCAGGCCTCTCTAAGAGGTTTACAGAGTCGGCGTATTGCCCCCCGACAATTTTGGGTCCTCATTTTACCCACCTCGGAAGGATGAAAGGAGTGGTGGGATTCAAATTGTTTTACCACCGATTCAGTGGGCGTAGCTTGGTGGGCGTGCTTTGCCTAAGGCCGGCATGTAGCTTTCCCCACACCAGCTGAAGCCTACAGTGCCAATCAGCTGACAGGATAAAGAAGAGAAAAGCACAGGGGCGGGTGGAAGGGCCGATCCTGCGCTTTTCTCTTCTTTGTCAGCTGATTGTCGGAGGATTTTTTTTCCTCTCTCAGCTGATCGTCGGCTTTTTTTACTACTGGTTCGGCTGAACCAGTCCAAACCGCCACTGGGTGAAAGGCTGAGTCAACCTTGAGCCAGTCAGGATCGAACTCCTGGCTGTGGTCAGAATTATCCTGCAATTTTAAGCTCTGTGCCACTACAGCTGTAGGTAGCAATAGCAAGCTACATTTGCTTAGAGGTAGTCCTTGACATACGACCGCAACTGAGCCCAACACTTCCACTGCTAAGCAAGGCAGGTGTTACATCAGATTTGCCTCACTTTACCCCATCTTTTTCCCCACCGTTGTGAAACAAATCGCTGCACTAAATTAGGAAGGAGCCAGGGTGACACAATGGTTAGAATACAGTATTGCAGGCTAACTCTGCCCACAGTCAGGAGTTCGATTCTGACCGGCTCAAAGGTTGACTCAGCCTCCCATCCTTCCGAGGTTGGTAAAATGAGGATCCAGATTGTTGGGGGCAATAGGCTGACTCTGTAAACCCACTGAGAGAGAGCTGTAAATCTATGTGAAGTGGCACACAAGTCTAAGCGCTATTGCTGTCGCTATGTTGGGTATCATGTGACCCGAAGGACTGTCATTTGTCAATCACCATCTTATCTATCCTTGTGGTTTCCTTCATAAAACACACGAGTGGTTTACCATTGTCTCCTACACAGGATGAAAGGATGTTTTTTCAATATCACTAAAGAGATCTCCCATTTTCAGCATCTTCATACGTTGCTGTTGCTCTATATATTTATTTATCTATTTGATTTTTTTTTTATTCATAAGTAATTCAAACATACCTAATATTTCTTCTTCCTCCTGTTTTCCCCATAATAGCAACCCTGAGGTGGATTGGGCTGAGAGAGAGGGACTGGTTCAAAGTCACCCAGCTGGCATTCATGCCTAAGGCAGGACTACAACTCACAGTCACCTGGTGATTGACCCGAAGTCACCCAGATGGCTTTCATGGCTAAGGGAGGATTAGAACTCATAATCTCCTGGTTTCTAGGCCAGCATATTAATCAGTATATACACCAAACTCTCTGCTTACTTTAGCTGGGCTAACCTTCATGCATTGGGCCACCCTGCCAAAATTATAAACGGTACTCTCAGTATACACTTTATGATTTATTGATTTGTCAATTTTTTTAAACCTTTTGCCCTTAGCTCATCCCTTCCAGAAACACACTCACCACACACACACACACACACACACACACACACACACACACACACACACTCATGCATACAGACAAACGTAAGGCAACATGGAAAGATTTTGGGTTGAAGAATAAAAATGGCTTTGGATACATTAAGCCTCCTCCACTTTTAAAACAATGTGATGCTTGCTACATTGCTAACATGGTCTTACTTATTCAGACACTTTATTAACTGAGGATGCTGTCTTTGGTGTTTTAATACCAAATTTATTCTTCTTTGTAATCAAAGAACAAGCTGCAAGGCCTACCTTGTATGGGGCCATCCGTAGAGCGAAGTGAAGGGCAGCCTGCAGAAGGACAGAGAATAGGAAAGGATGAAGAGGCAGGAAAACAATCAACAGATATTTGAAATTTGCGGAGAAAATGTTGTGTAATAAATGCATCTTATCATTATGGAACAATGTTATTTATTTTGGAAATGAAACATCTGCAAGAAAACCACCAAGCTAAGAAAGCACCAAGGACCCCACAGTTCAGCCCTGAGTTACAAAGATTTTCTTGCACCTGTGGGAAGAATGTATACATTTATATATTAGAAGTATTGTGTAGGGAATCATAGGTTAACTAACTCAAGTCTCCAACAAAGTTACGGATTAACAGCCTCCGAAATCCTTTAAACTTACAGCAAAAATAAGAAATAATTAAATGTTTATTACAAATTTTAAACACACCCAAGCAAATGCACAAAACTCAATTAACACAATGTAGACATTGCTCACAGTTCAAATGAAGAGACTCAATCCACATCAACTGCTTCTCCAAGTCTACACATACAGACATACACGCCCTTCACGTGTCACCCTAGAACAAGCACGCACACATTTCCACACCCCTCAAGACCCACACCAAGTACAAGCTCCCCTATAAAACAGCCCTTTTGTACCTCATTTTCGCTGGGCAAGCCACGGGCAAGCCTCTTTGTTTTGGGGGAATAAATAAATGTCCTTTTCTCAAAGCTGTCTGGATTTCATTTTGATTTGTTTTCACACAACCCCAGCTTGAGTTTGAATTCCCAATTATTCTTCTGACATATCTAGCTCTACTTACCTCTACTGCAAACTTTATCTATCTCTGAGGCAGTGTTTCTCAACCTCAGAACTCATGGGTGGACTTCAACTCCCGGAATGCCCCAGTCAATATGTTGAGGAGAAAAGAAGGAGGTGTCTAATCTTGCTATTTTGCTGCTATTACTTAGGTTCCTCATAGAGGTTCCTCCATTCCACCTTCTTTGTTTGTCAACCTTTTCTGATTTTTTTTTTTTTTTGAGGAGGGGCAATTACAGCTGCTACAGCAAACATTACATTGTTTAGTTTCCTGACTGTTCATTTCCTATTTCTAATTGCCTTGGTGTTTATTAGATTCCCCATTGCAAATTATGGTTTTTACTATAGTCAAATCTTTGTTTAACCCACAAAGAAATTCTAGCCACTACAAAGACTCCATGAGTAATTGTCCTGATGTATTCTATTAATTATCAAGGCAAAGAAGAAAAAACAGTTTCCTTTTATTTGTTTCAACATCAAATCTACTGTGGGAAATAAATGAGTAGTTTAGTGTAAAAACACAACCGTTTCAACTTGTCCCTGTAATGGGACCCTCCTTGCCTTCCATTTTTTAATTCATCCGTTGTAGGACAGAAAACTTTTTACCAACCAGACATTAGAAAGGAAGAGTTAAAGGTGCTTTGGTCAATAGTTCTCCAATAGGCTGAGCCTCAAAAGATGCCTTCGGAATCTGTTAGGAATGAGAGTCACCTAACAGTTGGGTTGGAAGTATATAAACCAGGATAGTAATTTAATACTGTATCTTTAAGAGACTGCTGTAAGTGTGATTGGCTGAGGTTCCTCCAACAGCCATAAGATGGAGCCAGAAACCTGGTTTCCTTCTCCTTGCATTTTCTGTTTTGCCGTATTTGCCTGATCGTCATTCTGCTTGGATTGCTGTGAGTCTTGCAACTGTTAGCAAACTCCGTTTACTGAACTTCGTTTATGATACTTGACTTCGTTTTTGGATTATCCCTGGACTGATACTAACTGCTTTAACCGTGTATTATTTGGACTGTTTGTTGGACTTTGTTTACCCGTTTACTGGAAGTAAAACCTACATTTTACTATTCAATGTATCTGTATGCTGGTCGTGTGTTATTCAACATCACTCTCACTACGTTTCCCTGAGTGCACTCATTCTTCTAACGGGGAATACCTCAACAGAATCCAATGCACTGTATTTAACAGACAATCCTCAATTTATTACCTCAGTTGAGCCCAAAATTTCCATGGCTAAGCAAGACAATTGTTAAATGAGTTTGGTCCCATTTTATGACTTTTTTGCCACCGTTGTTAGGTGAATCATCACAATTGTTCAGTTAGTAACGCAGTTGTTAAGTGAATCTGGCTTCCCCATTGACTTTGCTTGTTAGAAGGTCCTGTTGGAAGAAATATCCATCTGGTTCAGTTCCAATCCAAGAGAAAGGCACTGCAGACAAAATGGAGGCTGAAGGCTGATTGGAAAGAGGGTCCATTTATTGATGAAGCAGAAGCACAGGGGTGGTTCTGGACAGCTGACCACATGGCTTTGAACTTGAGCTTCCTGTTCCTGTGCAAGAACATGTATTCTGTTGGCTGTTGTAGGGATCATAGCTGGCTCTATAGGTTGTCTGAGCTCCCAGGTTTGGTTGAAGTTTGAACTGCTGAGATGATGTAATGAAGGGGCTTGTGTTCTGAAAGGGTGTTGGGCAATTCCTATTCATGGCTTTTTCCTGGTTTGGATTTTGAGTGAGGCCTATTTGCTTATGAATAGAGCTACCTAGATACTTGACTTTTTTCAATAAGCTCTTTATCTCTTAAGTGCTGACATCTGCTGAGGGCTATTAAGAAAGGTGGGGGCTGCTTTCTGTCTGAAAAAACATGTTTGTCCATTTATACCTTTGGGAAAATATAATAATCTGCCCTTTTTAATATTCCTCAAAATATTTCATTCTTCTAGGACAGGGGGTGGCTTCCCACAGTCGCAAAAAGTGATCACAGGACCCCAGGACACTGCAAACATCGTTAATGCATGCCGGTTGCCAAGTGTCTGAATTTTGACCACAGCAGTGGTGAGATTCAATTTTTTTTATTACCAGTTCTGTGGGGGTGGCTAGGGGGGGTGAGGCTAGGGGGCGTGGCCATGTGACTTTTGCACATGGCTTTTTTTTTTTTTTTTTTGCTTTTTGAAGCACCCTTCCCCCCATTTTTTGGGCCTTCTCGGCCTCAGGCAAGCCTCCTTGGGGGGCGGGGCGTTTTTGTTCCCAGGGGGCTTCCCTAGGGCTCAGGAAGGGAGAAAACATGCTCTATTTGGGGGCCTCCCTGGGGGAGGTGCAGAGGGTGGTTTTTTGCCTTCTTGGGCCTCAGGGAAGCTTCCTGAGTGAAAGAGTAAGACCGCAAGGGGAATCCCGGCACAGCTGATTATAGGAACAGCTGATCGTAGGAACAGCTGATTGTAGGAACAGCTGATCGTAGGAAGGGGAAAAAAGGTATACCTTAAGGAGTGACTGGGCAGGCTAGCATCAGGCAGGCAGGTTGAACAAGCATCAGGTGGGCAGAGTAAGCGAGCGAGCTGCAATTGGGTGACCGGGTTAAGGGCGTGGCCAGCCATAAATTACTACCGGTTTGGCGACCCCCACCAAATCCTTGCTACTGATTCACCCCATCCCAGTGCGAACCGGCTGAATACCACCACTGGATCACGGGGATGTGATCATGCAGCGTTCATGAGTGGGATGTCAAGATTGAACCACTTTGCTTCTTTCAACATTTAATGCATCTCAGTGTCAGGTGTGCCTCGTTCAAAACCCAAGAAAGGAATCCTTCAACTCTATTTATGTAGGGAAAAAGTACTTTTACTAAGTTTGAAGTGATAGCAACAAAAGAAAGCAAGATCCGAAGCAAATAGGTGTGGAAATTACAATATTGAAAGTTATGCCGTTCCCTTGCCCAAGAGTCTAGACCGATCATCCAATTTGAGGTGTGTATAATGTCATGTAGGGTACATCTTCAGGTGGTTTCTCACTCATCTGGCATGCCAAGATGGTTGACCTTGGCTTAGTAGAGATAAGCCTATGCAGATGCGCAGTAAGCAGGAAAACATCCCCTCCTTTTTAGTTCACACAGAAAACGTCTTCACTCTCCAGCAACCTTCCCCTCCCAAATACCAACATTACCCCTCCCCCCGTTTCTATGGCAGCTGACAGGAAGCAAGCAGCAAAAGATGTCAAGAAAACTTCGTGGAGGCTGACACTCAACTTGCTAATGAACCAAGGGGAGGAAAGGGGAAAAATAGAACTCTGCAACTGTATGCAGAGATCATGAGAGCATGGAAACCATCAAGGTCACCACTGCAGGTGCTGGAGGAAGAGATGGATTGTTCCCATAACAAATGGACATCTGACAATTGGTCAATGTGATCACCCAGGGGTGAGGAGATGGGGAAGCTATTGTTTAACTAGGCAAGCAATTGGGCAGGGAAAAGCAGAGCTAGTTTTGTTTCTTCAGTACCAACATGGTGTATCCAATAAATTGGGGAATTCAAAGCTCCCAAGAATGTTTCCTTGATTTGGGTTCATTAGTTGAAAAGTTGACATCGGAAAATGGTCATAAGTCATTTTTTTCAGTGCTGTTGTAACTTGAACAGTCACTAGATGAACGGTTGTGAATTGGGGATTACTTGTGTTTGCTTCTCCATCAGCCCAAGGGCTAGACCCAAAGGCAGAGAGAGTGATATTTATTTGAAAAAAATCAGAGATAGCTCTGAAAAAAAATAAAAAATACTCAAGAGGATAATTCCGTTTGTGAAGTCCACATTGAGTCTGCTTCAAACAGATCATCCCTCCTGTCATTTCAAAAGAGTATTTAACTTCTTTTAAACCTAACAGTGAAGATATCTCAGAGATCAGTCAGCCCAACTCTTTATTCAATGCATGACCCATTAGAGCAGTGTTTCCCAGACATAGTGATAGAATAACAGAATAACAGAGTTGGAAGGGACCTTGGAGGTCTTCTAGTCCAAACCCCTGCTCAAGGAAGAGACCCTGGTACCATTCCAGACAACTGGCTGTCCAGTCTCTTCTTCAAAACCTCCAGTGATGGAGCACCCACAACTTCTGAAGTTCCACTGTCAGGAAATTCCTCCTTAGTTTTAGGTTGCTTCTCTCCTTCATTAGTTTCCATCCATTGTCCTACCATCAGGTGCTTTGGAGAATAAGTTGACCTCCTCTTCTTTGTGGCAGCCCCTCAGTCCAGCCCACCATGAATTTCATTGACCCCTATCTACTGCCAATTTGCTTTGACCATTAATAGTTCAGATTCTTGCAGACGACAAGAAAGGTTACAAAATAGGGCAAAACTCACTTAAATTCTCACTCAGCAACAGAAATGTTGGGTTCAATTTTGGTTATACGTCAGGGACTAACTGTATGCAGTGCTCACACTTCAGAGCAGGGTTTGTCAACCTTGGCGATTTCAAGACTTGTGGACTTCAACTTCCACAATTCTCCCGCCAGCCAGCTGTATTTTACAATTTATGTCTACAGATAGATAGACAGGCAGATAGCCCAGTTTACAGAAGATTTGCTTCAAATGAACTCTCCAGTATATTTCATTCCCAGTCTTTATGGAAACCTCCACTTACATTAATAGCACAATTTTCAGGAGGTGGATGGATTTAATTGAAAGGGGTTTTGAAATACATGCATAGTTTTCTCTTCTGCCAAAGGCGCAAGAATAAAAAATGTGCCACCGAATAATGCTAAGCAGTTGTAACCACTCTAATAACTCCACGGCATGTGAATTTGCATTTGTTTTACCTTAGAGTTGAGCTGGAGAAAAAGAAATAATTGGGAGTTAAGAACTGACTGAAAATTGTGCTGATTCCAGGCAAATGAGAAAAAGAACGGCAGAGAGAAAATACCAGAGAAAGAATGTCCTATTCTAGCCACCGAAAAATTGATATTGGACTTTTAAAGGAACAACTTCATTCTCTGAAATAATTCTCAAGTATATGTGTCCAACAATAGAAAATAGAATAATAGGGTTAGAAGGGACCTTGGAGGTCTTATAGTCCAGCAGGATTCTATATATTATCCCAGACAAATGACTATCTTCTTGGAAACCTCCAATGTTGAAGCACCCACAACTTCTAGAGGTAAGCCATTCCACTGATTAAGTGTCTTCACTTTCAGGGATTTTCTCCTTAGTTCTAACTTGGAATTCTCTTTAATGATCTTCCACCTGTTACTTCTTATCCTGCCCTCTGGTATTTCAGAGAATAGGTTGACCCCTGCTTCTCTGTGACAGTCCGTCAAATACTGGAGGACACTTATCATGCTCCCCTTTAATCTTTCTCTTCATTAGACAAGACATGCCTGGTTCCCTCAATTGTTCATCAGCCAAAAATCAATAACTATTGAAAATTCTCGCTGTGAAATCTTACCTTCTGTTTTGAAAAATTGGGATTCTTTCATGGTGGGCAATCGAGCCAAGACTGTAGCTATAAGAAGCAAAATAAAAGATTGTGCTGAAACCCAACTGCTCAAAGGTCAATATGCAATCAATACCATAACATGCAAATCAATACCATAATTATAATTATAATATTATTAATTATTATTATTATTATATTAATTATGATATATAATAATATGCAAATCAATACCATAACAGTGGGATATTTTATCTTTTGTTATGTTTATATAATTCTAGGCAAAAAGACATCTAAATACAGTTTGTAATCCAAGAGAAGAAAAGATTTGTAGCTCGGAGTTGAACTGTGGGATCCTTGGTGCTCACAGAACTTGGTTGTTTCCTTATGGACCTTTCATTACCCAACTAGATACACCATCAGTGCTGGAAGGAAGTGGGGTTTTGTGGAGTGGAGAAGAAACAGAGGAGGAGGAGGAGGAGGAGGAGGAGGAGGAGGAGGAGGAGGAGGAGGAGGAGGATGGAACTGTGGGGTCTTTGGTGCTTTCTGAACTTGGTTGTTTTCTCGTAGACCAGGGCGTCAAACATGCGTCGTCACGGCGGCATCATGTGACATATCGGGACTTGTTTCCCCTTCACTAAACTGGGTGATGTTGGGGCCAGCATGTGATGCATCCAGCCACAAGTTTGACACCTGTTGTAGATATTTCATTATCCAACTAGGTAACACCATCAGTGCTAGAAGGGAGTGAGGTTTGTGGAGAAGAAGAGGAGGAGGAGGAAGGGAACTGTGCTCTCTGAACATAGTTGTTTTCTTGCACACCTTTCATTACCCAACTATAGGTAACATCATCAGCGCTAGAAGGGAGTGGATTTGCATTGATGATGTTCCTTAATTGGGTAATGAAATGTCTGCAAGAAAACAACCAAGCTCAGAGAACACCAAGGGCCCCACAGTTCAACCCTGACCTGCCATAGGTCCCATCTATCCACCAGCCAAAGGACAACCAGTGAATTATAACATGCTCTATCTAGATCATCCAGGTATTTTGTGCTAGAATAACAGCAATCAGGACTGTCTTCAGATGGCTGACTGGTGCTACAAAGTTGTTTTAGGTCGCAGTTGTGCCAATGGCCAGAGCAATGTTGATGGTGCCATCTTGCAAAGGGCTACATCAGTAGATGTAGAAGGTTTCATAAAAAAACAATCAACTGAGGGTTCTTTTAAGGGGAGAAGACAGGAAGGCCAATGAGGGATGGGATTCTACCAGTTTGCACCAATTCGCTAGAACCGGTTGTTAACATTCTAAGCAGTTCAGAGAACCGGTTGTTAGAAGAAATTACTGGCCTAATCCTGTAAGGAAGGCAGGAAGGAAACATTCTGGTGTTGCTTACAGAAACTGCCTCTCCGTTAACCCTTATTACCTTCTTGGCAGGACTAGACTTCCTGTTTCAGGAACTTCTCTGGAGTTTTTTCCGCTCCTTTGCTGGTACTTTGCTTGCGTGGAGTGACCATTCAAAGTTAAAATGACACTGAAAACAGTGACTTATGACCATTTTTCACACTTATGACTGTTGCAGCATCACCACAGTCATGAGAGGCAGGTGAGGAGATGCATGCCTCAAGTGTGAGTGATATTGAGTTGGCCACACCCAGCCAATAACATGACCACCAAGCCATGTCCACCCAGTCACATGACCACCAAGCCATGCCCACCACCTAAGCCATGCCCACAGAACTGGTTGTTAAAAATTTGAATCCCAACCCTGCCAGTCACCCATCACACCGAGGGGCCTATTCACTTGACAACTGCTTAACAACAGAAATGTTGTGCTTAGCTGTGGTCCTAAGTCAACGACTACCAGTAATATGAGGTAAGTTTAGAGAAAGAGTTTGAAATATACTATATATCTCACCTGACAAAAAATGCCTTTATTTCACTCTAATCCCCATCATTTCTTGCCCCTCACAATTATTGGAGTATCTACAGCAAAGAGCATAAAGCTTCAGGAGAAAACAAGAAATAAGAGACGGTACAAAGGGAAAGAACCAAATGATGGATGGGCTCACCTGTCCGGCCAATGACAGATACAGGGTCACTTTCTCCTGCAGCGTAGACTGCAATTACGGTCACTGTATAAACTCTAGCAGGCAGGAGAGAATGAAGAACAATGGACTGAATCCTGCCAGAGACTGTCATCTGTAGAAAGGAGAACGTAAATGTTAGATCGGGTAGATCGGTTCCCACAGAGACGTGAGACCAAAAGTGATCATTCAGCTCTTTATTGTGTATATAGACCAGTACAAGACCTGCGAGCCGAGGCAACCCTTCATATAGGAATTGCTCGCGGCTCGGCGGCCAATGACAGGGCTTTGAATCTCCCGCGATCGGCTCGACCAATCGTGGTTGATTCTTAGCGCACCAATCACGGCCGTTTAGTTGGCCAATCAGGTTGCGGTCCGTGTGGACCGATCAGGGCTCAGGGTTTGGAGTATGCTAATATAGAACAGTAAACACTTTTACAACCTAGCAAGGCAATGTGATTTTAAGACTCAACAGGAGAATTACTGTAACAAATGAATAATTGAAGGCAGGACAAGAAGCAAGGGATGGAAACTTTTCAAGGAGAGAACCAACTTAGAACTTAAGTCAGGAGAAATTTCCGGACAGTTTTGTGTTGAATTTATATTTACCAACAAAGAAATGAAGGGAGACTAATATAGATCTATTTCAAGCTATAGCTCTCGTCAGTTAGCCATACCCTTCTGGGATTCAAACCCAGGTTACTCACATACTAGGTAGATGTATTAACCTCTAAGCCACAGGCTCTCCTTGTTTTGTCAGATATACCAGGGGAGGAATTAAGTTTTTTTTTTTTTCCAGTGTGACTGATCTATCAGGGCAACCAAGTCTGCTCAAATATGGGACGGAGCATACTGCTTCTGCTTTCGTCTTTCAGCCCCAGTCAGTGGTGGGATTCAAAAAAATTTTTTTTACTATTGGTTCTGTGGGTGTTTCTTGGTGGGTGTGGCATGGCTTGGTGGGTGTGGCAGGGGAAGGATAGCAGAAGATTTAGCAGAAGACACAGAGCTCTCTACATGGCACCATCCCTCCAGAACAGTTCACACTTCAAACTCACGGAATCCTATAAAGATCCATCCACTCATTCAACCATTTGTTCAGCTGACCCAGAACTGCTGGCTGGTTCTGTTCATCGTTAAACTTTCTTTCCAATTAGCCTCCATTTTATTTTATTCCTGGCTTGGACCTAAACCAGATCAATGGTGGGATTAAAAAATTTTTTACTACCCGTTCTGTGGCCATGGCTTGATGGGTGTGGCTTGGTGGGCGTGGCAGAGAAAGGATACTGCAAAATCCCCATTCCTTTCCCCACCCCACTAACCTGCTTTCCAGCTCCGTTCTCCTGTGCAGGGCAACAAAAGGAGACCCAGCCGAACAGCTGGGACTCGGGAGACGGAGAATAGATGGGGGCGGAGCCAGTCAGAGGCGGCATTTGCCGGTTCTCCAAACTACTCAAAATTTCTGCTACTGGTTCTCCAGAACCTGTCAGAACCTGCTGAATGCCACCTCTGGCCCCAAATCCAGAAGGCTCCTGGATTGGGGATGAAAGGCAAAAACGGAAGAAGCGTACTCCGTCCCATATTTGGGCAGACCAGGTTGCCCTGATAGTCCGGTCTCACAAGAAAAATTAAATTTCCTGACAGTGAGAACAATCCGCGGAAATACTTGCCTCCGGAAATTGTGGGTGTTCCATCCCTGGAGGTTTGTTTTTAAGAAGAGATTGGACAACCATTTGTCTGAAGTAGTATAGGGCAGTAATGGCTAACCTTTTCCACATTGTGTGCCAAAAGTGTGTGCGATGCAATGTTCCCACGACTCCCGCTAGCCTCTGCGCATGCACACACGACACCCCCCCCCACACCGCTGCATGCCTCTGTGCATGTGCACGCATCTCCCACGTGTGCATCTCCCACCCACCCCCATGCATGCGTGGCAGATACCCGACAAGCAGCTGGCTGGGAGGGGACATGCCGCATGCACAGTGGGGCTCTACCGGGCGACCTCTCGCATGCCAGCAGAAGTGGCTCTGGCATGCCACTTCTGGCATGCGTGCCATAGGTTCGCCATCATGGCTGTAGGGTCTCCTGCTTGAGCAAGGGGTTGGACTAGAAGACCTCCGAGGTCCCTTCCAACTCTGTTATCCTGTTAATTGCTGAAATCGATAGAAGAGAATATTTGTAGCTCAGGATTGAACTGCAGAGTCCTTGGCGCTCTCTGAGCTTGGTGCAGGTAGTCCTCGACTTACCAACAGTTCATTTAGTGACCTTTTGAAGTTACAACGGCATTGGGAAAAAAGGGATTTATCTTAGTAAATTGCAAAAAAGGGATTTATAATAAGTAAATTGCAGACTTGACAGAAAAGAAGATAAAATATAACGAATATGAAGGTATATAATGGTGTATTAAGGATTTAAAGGAACAGATTAAGCAACGTACTGGAAAGATTATCAAATAAGATAGGAAAAGCTTGATGATTAAAATTAAAGAAAAGATATAAAGCAAGATTAAGATAAGTCATTAAATGTGAAAGATGAATAGGAAATGAAAGTCAAGTTTGTAATGGAAATGTGTTAACCTGGAATCATGCTGTTCACTGAATATATATATATATATATAGCCTTCAGCTTTGTTCGGGTATTTTCCCACGTCATAGTAGTGGTGCTTTTAAAGTTGTAGCAACGTTTCAGCAGAATCTCATCTGCCATCATCAGGCTTTGGTATAGTGTTCGTCTGTGAGTTAGACTTTTACAGTGGTTTCA